AAAATGGTGGCCAGATGGTTGGGTTTTAAAAACCTTACTACAGACTTGTAAAGGGAATTAAAAGATAATCAGTTATCTTTATATGCTTCTTTATATCACATCCTGGTATATAGTGGGTTCACCATAAGAAGATGTTGAAGAAAGAATGAGTTCAAAATGGTGCTTTGTATTTTGGGAATTCATGAAATAAAATGCCCTCTTTTCCTCCGCACTTTACTGTAGTTGTAGTGGGATTTGTAGTGGTGATGTACTTACTTTTTTTAGATTTTCATGCTCAACACTCAATATGCAAGTTAGTGACTCCTGGATACTCAGCTTACAATCAGGACATAGCAGTGGCTGTGGGGTGTAGACTATGGCTATATGGTAGGCTGAGACACAGACGTAAGATACCTTCAACTGGCATGCTCTTTCCTTATCTTTTAGTTTTAAATTTCTTTCTACAAAGGTAGTTTTTTAACTTAAATAGCTAAATGCATAAAAACAATTAAATTAAATTAAGCAATTACTAAAGATGCATCTGAACATTTCTAAAGTTCCAAAACACTTTTATAGGAAACACCATTTTTTGTAAGTTTCAGTAGTTTTGTGTTCCAGTATTTCCATCAATTCAAATATTCTCTTGAATTGCATCTCTCTAATTTGCCTGCCCCCTTGCAATTAGAATCAAAGGCTTTTTAGGGCTATACATCATCATATTACACTTCCCTAATCTTTTAGCAGCTTTTTTTGGTTTTTGGCTTTTCCAAAATAAGCAGAGTGATTTAAATTACCCTCTCACTGTTCCTGTTATTTCTTTATTTTTCTTTTATCCACACATAAAAAACAAAATGAAGTCAGTTAAGTGAGTGAACGACCTTGGTCCACAGGCGTAGCCGTTGTCTCCCAGTGGAATGGAGTAATTTCACTTTGATCAGTAGAAGACTTCTCCACCCCAAATACAGTTTTCCTGCCAGCCTCCCAGTTTGGTGCTTCTTGAATGTTTAAACTTTGATGTAGTCTTATCAAGATTTTAATAAATTTTAGAATACTATACCTATGACAAGTCAAAAAATAAAAATATACAGTGTTAGAAAATATTAAGACTTGGTCAACCCATTGTGATTATCTGGGAAGATGCTCTAAACCACAAGTTGAGAAGGAGCAGCTCATTGGATACATTGTCTTCAAGTAGTTAGGTAATACTTTTGCAGGCAGCTATAATGCTGTTCTTTTCACTCCAAACTTATTTCTTCCAAAGCCTTCTAACTCCAACTAGAGATTGCACCTCCCAGAAAACACAAGATGTGAGAGACTGGGGGTATGTGCTGCAATTGGAACAGAAAGTGTAAAGTAAGCGTGGCATGAAATGTAAGTGGAGAAGGGTGAGTTTGAGAAGGACTGCAAAGAAAAGAAAGTCAGTATTAAAAACTGTATCAGACAATAAAGTATAACATAATCACTGCAGAAAAATGAAATCAGTCATGTGGGAGAATATCTGTAGATTTATTGGAAACACAAGAAAAGGTCATAGAAGATAATCATGGATAGATTGATATAGAAATAATAGGTGTAGAAAGAGGGAGCTCTAACCTCAGAATTACAGGCATTCCTGGAACAAGAGCAGTGATCAAAATCATAGAATAATCAGCAGCACTGCATAAAAACCTTGAGTATTCCATTCAAAAGAGCTCACCATTTTCAGTCAAAATTGATGAAAAGCAACACACAACTCTTGTACTTCAAATATTATCAAAACAAACAGAAAAACCATAAGTTTCCAGGAAGAAAAATAAAGCATGTGCAAAAGAATAAAAATCAGACTTCTCCTCTGCAATTCTAAATGTGGTCAGTGAAGCACATCTACAGTTTTAAAGAAAAATAATTGTGTAAAAAATAATGCCATATCTTGTTACATTGCCTTTCCTATGCAAAATATGAATGTTCGATGACATCCAGCTATATATCCTTCTTGAAAAAACCAATTAAATAATACTTAGCCAGCTAAGAGATAAAAACACATACATAAAAAAGTCATATTATGGGGGGGGAGTCATATTATAAAAGAACTGGAATTTGTTATCTACTTCTGGATCTGTGTTAAGTATGAACAAATATGAAAACAAATATAAATATAAAGATGTTTAACAAAGCATTTTTATATTATATGAAAAGGAATAGACTCAGGTATCCTACTTCTAGGTATTTACCCTAGAGAAATGAAATATATTCACACAAAACCTTTACGTGAATGTTTATAGCAGGGCTTCTTTTTCATAATTACCCCAAACTGGAAACAACTCAAATATCCAGCTGGTGAATGAATAAACAAACTATTGCACATACATAAAATAAAATGCTACTCAGCAATGAAAAAGGAGTGAACTACTGGTACAACGACTGCAACAAGAAGAATGGATTTCAAATGTATTATGCTAGAAAGAGTCAGTCTCAAAAAGGTTCATACTGAATGATTCTATTTGTATGACATCCTGGAAACAGCAAAATTAAAGGGGCAGAAAACTAATCAGTGGTTGCCAGGAGCTGAGGGTAGGGAGAGTTTGACTACAAAGGAACAACATGAGAGCATTTTGGGGGGTGATGGAATTGTTACAAATATTGATTGTCTTGGAGGTCTGCCAAAACTCATAAAATTGTATACCCCCCAAAAGTGAATTTTACTGTATCTAAATTTTTTAAGTAGGGAAAAAAAAACCCCAACATAACTGCAAGAAGTAATGTCTTTACAACGATGTGAATATACTTAGCAAATATTGAACTATACAGTTAAAAATGGTTAAGATGATTTTATGTTATGTGTATTTTACCACAATTTAAAAAATTAAATTCAAAACTACCATAAAAATAACACCTGTATAATGGACTATTAGTAATCATTAAAACATTTTTTCCAAAGACTCATCAGTGACGTGGAAGAATGCTTACAATGTTAGATTAAACCAAATACAAAGCTGAATTAACAGTATGATTTGTAACTCTGCAAATAATCATGGCAGAAACACTGGAAAATTAAATACCAAAATGTTATTAAGAGTAAAAGTCATGGTGATGGGATTTTAGATGAGTGATTTTCCACTTCTACACTTCTTAGTATCTAACTGGTTTTCTTTTAAGAGTAAGTTTTTCTTCTACGAGTAAGTTCTTTTAACTTACTCTTTTTATAATTGATAAAAATAGAATACTCAGAAAGCATATGCAATTAGTCATATATTGATGACTATCAATCATTTCATATAAGCTCCTATTTAAATCGTATCAGCAAAAAATGATTTTTTGTATCCACTCAAATTCTTCTATTCTTACAGCACTGAATACTTTAAAATACAATTGAAATAGTGTCTATGGACTTTTAATTCGAGATGATAATTTAAGCCTGTGTTTAGCTTTCCTCGCTCCAAAGGTAGGAAAGTACCTAAAGGATGGAATTCCAACCACCCAAAAGAAAAGGCTGCCTGGAGAACGGGTGGCGGGGCCCCAGAGCTAGGGGCCGGAGGGGAGGACTGCTCATGTGGCAGTCTGCTGTAGGATTCTCAAACCTCCCAGTATTGGCATCTCAGGAAAGCTGCCGCAACACTATTGCATAGCATCTGTTTTTAGTAAGGCCAATGTCTGAAATAAAATAGAAGCGTTGCCTCAAACAAATATCCAACAGAGACAGATGTACTAATTAGAGAAGGTCCACAGAGGGTACCCAGCTACGTAAGTAAATAGGTTGCTACTGTAAGCGGAGGAGAGAGATTCACGAATGCTTTTGCTGGTAGCTTCTCCTTTTTCCGCACAGAAAAAAGTTCGTATATGCACACTTTATACACACACATTGTACATTAATTTTAGTGGCTATATGGACCCTGGGGTAAGGTTAGTTGATTATTATATTAATCAACTAAAAAATTCATTCTCTATTTAATGTGACACCTCCATGAGATGTTTTGGCCCCCTGGTCCTTGAAAATTAATTTCTTAGAATTTAAACTTTGAATCTTTGCGTTAATGTGCATTTGTAACAAGTGCCTTGTTTTTGCTTTTATTTTTCTTTTGATGCTTGCCATTTTTATGAGATCATTTTCTTTTTTTTTTTTTTTCTCCTTTAGGAATTGCGAAGGGCAGAATATTCAATATAAGACATGCAGCAATCATGTAAGTTCTATAATAAAAATACATAATCCCATAAAATCATGTTTTAAGTTATAATATTATGTGTCTATAAAACTAATGGTCTCTTGGTAAACTGTGGAAAATTTGAGTATTTAATTGACAACAGCTTTTGTGTATCTGATACCTTCCATTTATACTTCCTTTTCAGGTCATTTCATATCTATGATCTAATCTGATAAGTATTTAATAACTTCTGAATTCACAGAAGCAATACAAAATACCTGTAAACTCTTTCAGTGTTCAGAGTGCTTTTACGTCCAGTAGGTCACCAGACCTTCATGCTTTCTCCCAGATGTAGGCAGGTGAAGTGGGGTTATTTCTCTTTTGCAAATGAGGGGACTGAGGCTGAGGGAGGTAAAATTATTTTCTGAATGTCACATAAAGGTACAGACTTGAACTGGTCTAGTGCTTTTTCTACTACTCCAAACCACATACGGTGCCCATTGCAAAATATGATAGGTGACTCATCAGAAAATCATACAGGAGAAGGGATTTATACAACTTTATTTTATTCTATGTAAGCCAACACTAAAAAAAATTCAAATATTTTGCTTTACAAATATGAAAATGCAAAATACACATCAGAAGGAACCAGTCTCATTTTCTACTCAAAACATTTCCCTTATTAGTGATATATACCCAAATCAAAATGACAAGAATTAAAATTCTGAGAATCTGGAGATCTCATGTAAATGAGATTTAGTATTTTTTTTTTTAAATCCATTTTTCTCAGTTGGCTGTAACTAATTTATTTTGAAAGTTTCACTTACTGGGACACTGTCCCTCTTTCTTCCTTCTCTGTCCCAGGCCAGTATGAAACAGCAGTCCTGGGGAAGTGTTTCTGCTCTGTGGACCCAAACTCTTCCTCAGTGGGCAGCTCCCCCCACCCACCAAGTTCTAGACAGGGGGAGTGAAGAGCAGGCGGTGTTAGACCTTTTGTCTGCAGAGCTCAAACCAAGTTTTTAGTCCATTTTACCAGTGATGAAGTTGGTATTTTTTATCCTTATCTCACAACTGGTTCCAAACTCGGATGGGAAAAATGGGGCTTATTTATTGGGCACTCAGACTCCAGTTATCACCCTGCCCTGAGGGAGCCAGATGTTTGTCAACCAGGAGGAATTTTGGGAGACAAAGCAAATGGGTTTTGCATCTCCTGTGACAGGATGGAAGTCAGAGGAATTGAGAGACGCACTTGCCAGTGAGTGCTTAATCAAATGGGGCGAAGTCCAGGTGGGGAATATACGAGGAAGAGAGTGGCTTGAGCACAGTCTAGCATTCCTTCTTACACGAGCGAGTGAATGCATTAGCAAACTAAGAGTTTTATCCCTGAGGCTTTTGGACCTACTCCCTTTTTAATGGGTGCATTATTATTATTTTTTATTGCTGCTGTAACAAATTACTGTGACTTAGTTGGCTTAAAACAACACAGATCAATTATTTTACAGTTCTGGAAGTCCAAAGTCCAGCACAGGTCTCACTGGGCTAAAATTAATGTGTTGACAAGGCTACATTCATTCTGGAAGTCTAGAGGAAAATCCGTTTCCTTGTCTTTTCCAGCTTCTAGAAGCTGCCTGCACTCCTTGGCTTGGGGCCACTTCCTTCATAGCCAGCAAAGTTGCATCTTTCTGACCATTTTTCTGTAGTCACATCTTCCTGTAACCACAGCTGGGCAAGATTCTTCCACCTGGATAATCCCAGACCTTCCTCCATCTCATTTTTCTTAGCTTTAGTTATATGTGCACAGTCCAGTTTGCCATGTAAGGTCACATATCCACAGGTTCCAGGTATTAGGTCATGGACGTTTCTGGGGTGGGGGCAGTGCGTTATTCTGCCCAACGCCATAGTATGGCTAAAGTCTTCTTCAGCACATTGGTATGCCAAATTCCTTGTAGTCATTCAAGAACAAATTTCAAAACAGGCTGCTCTCCAACAATACTCTGTGAAGCTATTTAAGGGAATTCATTTTAAACCTCAGATCAAGGTGTTACATTATGAGATTTCATTTTAGGATTTCTCTTTGTGTGTATCACTGCTGTAGCTAATTCCACAAAGGTACCTTCTGTCAACACAAGTGTTAGAGGTGTCTAGGAGTGCTGTATTATGGCATACAGTGTAGAGGTAAAATGTAATCTGCCAAAATCGGTGCACTTTAGGTGCAATGGTTGGGACTTTGGTGTACTTGAGTGAAGATATGATGCCCTGAGGCTCCATGGGTCTTGGGAGTACCTGCAATCTCTAAGTGATGGCCCCTCTGGGAGCATACTACAGAAATCTTTTTCACCTCAAGGTTGGTGAGAAATAGATGCTTGGGGTGGCAGAGGGTGGAGGATAATAATCCTGCCCCTTTTTAGTTTGCAGAGTTGGAATCCTTAGAGAGTCCTTAGAGAGATTTCATAAGGATATAGCATCAGTTGCTAAGCTTGCCTTGCAAACTCAGAATTTGTAACAAAATTCCTTCTTAGGGATATATTAGCCCATTTCTGTTGCTGATAACAGAATACTGGAAACTGGGTAATTTATAAAGAAATACACTTTATTTCTTACTCATTTTAGGATTTCTCTTTGTGTGTATCACTGCTGTAGCTAATTCCACAAAGGCACCTTCTGTCAACACAAGTGTTAGAGGTGTCTAGGAGTGCTGTATTATGGCATACAGTGTAGAGGTAAAATGTAATCTGCCAAAATCGGTGCACTTTAGGTGCAATGGTTGGGACTTTGGTGTACTTGAGTGAAGATATGATGCCCTGAGGCTCCATGGGTCTTGGGAGTACCTGCAATCTCTAAGTGATGGCCCCTCTGGGAGCATACTACAGAAATCTTTTTCACCTCAAGGTTGGTGAGAAATAGATGCTTGGGGTGGCAGAGGGTGGAGGATAATAATCCTGCCCCTTTTTAGTTTGCAGAGTTGGAATCCTTAGAGAGTCCTTAGAGAGATTTCATAAGGATATAGCATCAGTTGCTATGCTTGCCTTGCAAACTCAGAATTTGTAACAAAATTCCTTCTTAGGGATATATTAGCCCATTTCTGTTGCTGATAACAGAATACTGGAAACTGGGTAATTTATAAAGAAATACACTTTATTTCTTACAGTTTTGGAGGCTGGGAAGCCCATAGTACAGGTGACACATCTGGTGAGAATGGACTGAGCAAGAGAGCTAACCTTCTTACTCACTCTCCTTATAAAGCCATCAGATCCACACCCATGACAACCATCAACCATTAAACCGTCAGCCCATTACTCCATGAATGGATCGATCTATTCATGAGAGCACAGTCCTTGTGATCAAATCCCTCTTAAAAACCCCATCTTCCACTGCCATATTGGGTGTTAAGTTCAAATATGAACTTGGGGGAACACTCAAACCACAGCAACGGTAGTAATGGAGAGTCATGGCAGCCATAGTGTTCGGAACACCCCTCTGTCTCCATGTGCCACAGTATCTACAGCTGTGCATGCCCAAGCTCTGTGGCAGACCAGAGGTGGATAAATGCAGCCCAAGCTCCAGTGTTAATGATCTGTGTGTTCCTGTACAAGAGAGATTATACAAATACATTCCTGAATATATCATAGAAACGTTGCAAGGATGTCAAGTGCCATAAGTGGAGTTAACCATAATGAACTCAGAGTACGAATATAGCCACATCTTTTTTTTTTTTTCGTATAATTACTTGAGCTGCTTCCTGCTTTATTAATTGGGACTCAAAATCTCCACCTCTCTGGGCCGGCCCGGTGGCGCACTGCTACAGTGCGCCGCGTGGGAAGTGCGGTGGCGCTCCCGCCGAGGGTTCGGATCCCACATACAGACTGGCCGCTCACTGGCTGAGCGAGGTGCGGGAGCAACACCGAGGGTTGCGATCCCGTTGCCGGTCCCGGTCCGGTATGGGGGTGACACTGAGGGTTGTGATCCGTTGCCGGTCACGAAAAAAGACAAAAAGGGAAAAAAAAAAAAATCTCCACCTCTCCATCACCCAAGGTAGTCTAAGAGCAGGACTGGGGACCAGTCTGCAGCCCACCTCAAGTGGAGAGAGGCGTTCTGATCAGGGCACCCCTGCTTGCTAAAACTTCTATTCCTCCACATGAGTGTCTGAAGACTGAGGCTATCAGCCACAGGACCATGGACCTGTCATCTATGTGTGTCCACTTAACCAAAATAAACAGTAATATTAATAATAGCTCATACTTATTAAGTACTTCCTAAATACTAGACATTGTTCAAAGTGCCTTTTAATGAATAAACTAATTTAATCCTCACAATGTCCTTATGAGGTAGGTGTTATTTTTATCTCCACTTTTACAGAGGAGGAACTTTTTTTTTTTTTTGTCTTTTTTACTGACCGGTAATGGGATCGCAACCCTCGGTGTTGCGCCTGCACCGCGCTCAGCCAGTGAGCGGGAACCGGTCTCCACATGGGATCCGAACCCTCCGCGGGGGCGCCGCCGCGCTCCCAAGCGGCGCGCTCTCCAGTGCGCCACCAGGCCGGCCTACAGAGGAGGAACTTTAAGTAACCTGCCCAAGGTTACAGAGCTGGATTTAACCCCAGGTAGTCAGGCTCAGGACTGTGTGCTCCCAACTGCTCTACCACACTGTACTGCCCCTCGGAAAGGTCTCTAGCTTTGTTAGATCACAAAATGACACTCCAGATAGCAGTAACTAAAGCATGGTAGCTTTTAACAACCTGTGAATTGCTGAGGTAGTTGGAGGAACTTTCAGATACCATTGTAGAACAGTGAGACATGTCTTCCGAATATGCACAGTTGGTGAGGGACAAAGGTCAGGGAAGAGCAGAGATGGAAGAGAAAGAGAGGCAACTAAAGGGAAGTCAGAGGAATGAAATCCTCCATGGCCATAGCCATCAGTCTTCTATTCCAGTGTCCTGGAGTCGATCCTCAGCACAGGAGAGGATGCTGCATAAAGAGGACAGACCCCAACAGCTGCATTTCAGAATTCTGCCCACCTCATTACCAGAGGTGGGAAGGGGG